TCCTTACCTTTAACACCCAATGGTAAGCTCGACCGACGATCACTACCTGCACCGGATGATGAGGCGTTTGCTCGTCAACATTATGAAGCTCCTCTGGGTGAAATGGAGGTAATGTTGGCCAATATCTGGCGTCAACTGCTTGGCATTGATCGAGTTAGCCGACATGACAATTTCTTTGCGCTGGGTGGTCATTCTTTGTTGATCGTACGGATGTTAGCACATTTGAGACAAATCGGACTGGATACTACCGTACGAGAAGTATTTGGTGCTCCAACGCTGGCCACGTTGGCCTTGAATATTGATCGTTATCAGATAGTCCCAGTTCCACCCAATCTTATCACTACAAACAGTACAGGGATTACTCCAGAAATGTTACCACTTATCAATCTATCTCAAGCAGATATCGATGCAATAATTGCACAGGTGCCTGGTGGCATAGCAAATATTCAAGATATTTATGGGTTGGCACCACTACAGCACGGTATTTTGTTCCATCATCTGATGGCCAAAGAAGGAGATCCATATTTAACAGTAAGCCGGCTTAGTTTTATTGACAGAACAACACTCGAGCGTTATACACACGCTCTACAGCAAGTGATTAAAAGACACGATATCCTGCGTACTGCTTTCTTCTGGGAAGGACTCAATGAACCTGTACAGGTGGTTCAACGCCAGGTTCCTTCGATACTAACCGAGATAACGTTGGATAATAAGTTTGAAGTAGTATTCGAGCAGTTGAATAACCAATATAATCCACGTCACTACCGTTTAGATTTTACACAGGCACCACTATTGCGTTTGTTGGCTGCACAAACATCTAAAGACAATTGGGTGGCAGTTCAACTGATTCATCACATAATTGTTGACTTTACCACAATGGAAAGACTACAAGCAGAAATCCGTACAATATTCGACCAGCAGAGTGAAAATCTAAGAGTTCCCACACCATTCCGCCAAGTGGTAGCCCAAGCTCGCATAGAAGTTATCCAAACTGATTATACTCGATTCTTCAGTGAAATGCTCACAGATGTTGACGATTTAGCCTTACCATTTGGTTTGAACCACACTGGATGGAACCGTATGGATATGATCGAGGCGCAGTTGCAGCTGTCTCATGAATTGATTGATCTGTTAAGAGGACATGCACGGCATTTACGGGTCAGTCTGTCCAGTTTGTGTCATCTGGCCTGGGCACAAGTGCTTTCTCGAGCTAGCGGTCGTGAAGCAGTAGTTTTTGGGACTGTGTTACTTGGTCGTTTACAAGCTGGCGAAGGCAACAATAACATCATGGGACCGATGATTAATACGCTACCCCTGCGCTTGGATATTGATGATAAGAGCGTAGAGACTGCAGTGTGTCATACCCATGCCCGTTTGAGTGCATTACTAGCACACGAATATGCACCACTTGCGTTGGTACAACGCTGCAGTGGAGTTCCAGCTGGATTGCCATTGTTTAGTGCACTGATGAACTATCGTCATAAGGCGAAAACAGAGCATGTCAATGCTTCACTTCCAGGGGTCAGATTTTTAGGTAGTGAAGGGAGAACCAATTACCCGTTAACCCTCTCCTTGGATGATAATGATGATACCTTGTGCTTGTCAGTCCAAGTCGTATCACAAGTATCAGCAGCTCGTGTTGGTGCTTATATGCAACAAGCCTTGGTGTCGTTATCCGACGCTTTAGTTAACAAGTCAAAACAAACAGTTCGAACATTTACTGTGGTGCCACCGGAAGAGTGGAATTTGTTGCTAAACACCTGGAACAACACCTCGGAGACCTATCCACTTGCCCGCTGTCTACATCAGTTATTTGAGGCACAGGTGGAACGCGACGGACAGTCGATCGCCGTGGAGTATGAGGGTGAGACTCTAAGCTATACGGAATTAAACAGCCAAGCCAACAGACTAGCACATTTCCTGATCGCACAAGGTATCAAGCCAGATGATCGTATCGCACTTTGCGTCCAACGTAGTACGAAATTGCTAGTGGCAATGCTGGGCATTCTTAAAGCGGGTGGCGCCTATGTACCACTCGATCCGAAATACCCCAGTCAGCGGCTGACCAACATTTTACAGAATTCAAATCCAAGGTGTCTTCTGGCAGACGCCGTTGGCCAAGAAGTACTCGGAAACCATCAAATACCATTGATCGACCTAAAAGAGACTTTATCCGAAAAATTATCAACCCATAATCCAGATTTGATAAAGTTGGGCCTCACGCCAGTCCATTTGGCTTACATTATTTATACTTCTGGCTCAACCGGAACTCCGAAAGGGGTGATGGTTGAACACAGAAATGTAACAAATTGCCTCTATTTTATCAAGGACGCGTTCACATCTGAAGATTTCAAGCACACCTCGTTTTCGACCTCTGTTAATTTCGATATGTCCCTTTACGAGTGTTTCGCACCATTATCAATGGGAACAACGTTGCATATTATGACGGATGCACTTGCGCTCTCTACATCGTCAGACATCTCCATGCTCAGTACAATACCTTCCGTTGTGACAACGATACTTGATACAGATTGCTTACCAACGGCGCTGAAAGCTCTCCATTTGATTGGCGAGCCACTAAAAGCCAGCTTAATCAAACGAATATTCACGCACACTCAAGTCAACGAGCTGTGTAATCTCTATGGCCTGACAGAAACGTCATTCTTTTCTACGTTGCATAGATTTAAACGAGGCGATGATGTAGTTGAAACGATAGGACGTCCGATTGCAAACACTCGTGTATACTTGCTTGATGCATATGGTGAGCCAGTGCCATTAGGAGCCGAAGGAGAATTGTATATTAGTGGCGATAGTGTAGCCCGTGGCTACCTGAACCGCCCTGAGCTTACCGCCGAACGTTTTCTACCTGATCCATTCAGTGAAACACCAGCAGCACGCATGTACCGTACTGGTGATCGAGCACGATATCTGCCTTATGGTGATCTGGTATTTTTGGGACGTATGGATCAACAACTAAAAATACGTGGCTTTCGAATTGAGCCTGGCGAAATTGAAGCTCGTCTAGTCGAATATCCTCAGGTTCATGATGCGATAGTACAATCTTATGGAAATGGATCAGATGCTCGTGTTGTCGCTTATATCGTGACTGATCCACACACTTCAATAGTCCAGAATATGAGGACATATTTGTCGAAATTGCTGCCTGATTATATGATACCAACGGCTTATATTTGTCTACCATCCTTGCCGCTTACACCAAATGGTAAGCTCGACCGGCGAGCGCTACCGGCTCCAGATGATGTGGCTTTTGCTCTTCAACATTATGAAGCTCCTCTGGGTGAAATGGAGGTAATGTTGGCCAATATCTGGCGTCAACTGCTTGGCATTGAGCAAGTCAGTCGACATGACAACTTCTTTGCGCTTGGGGGCCACTCTTTGTTGGTCGTACGGATGTTGGTAAAGTTGAGACAAATTGGACTGGATACCGCCGTACGAGAAGTATTTGATGCTCCAACGCTGGCCGCGTTGGCCTCGAATATTGACCGTTATCAGGCAGTCACTATTCCTCCCAATCTCATTGCCACAGACAGCACCGAAATTACTCCAGAAATGTTACCGCTTATCAATCTTTCTCAAGCAGAAATTGATGCAATCATCGCACAAGTTCCCGGTGGAGTAGCTAATATCCAAGATAGTTATGGATTGACACCTTTACAGAGCGGTATGTTGTACCATCATATGATGACCAAAGAGAGCGATCCATACTTGATGATAATCCGTTTGGAATTTTCTGACCAGAAAACACTTGAACATTATACAGACGCTCTACAACAAGTGATAACAAGACATGATATCCTTCGTACCGCCTTCTTCTGGGAAGGACTTAGTGAACCGGTACAGGTCGTTTTGCGCCAGGTTCCCTCGGTACTCACGGCATTCACTATAGATGATACCGGTGAGACGGTGCTAGATATGTTAAGCCAGAGCTTTGAATCGGTTCACTACCGCGTAGACTTGGCGCAGGCACCGCTTATGCGTTTGATGGCTTCACCAACATTAGATGGGAGTTGGATTGCGTTGCAGATGATGCATCACATTATTATTGACCATTCAACACTGGAGAGACTACAGGCAGAGGTTCACAATATCATGGGCGGAAAGATTGACAAGTTGACAATGTCCACATCATTCCGTAATCTTGTAGCCCAAACTCGAATAGGAGTTAGTCCAGTCCAATACACACGTTTCTTTACTGAAATACTGGGCGATATTGATGAGCCAACCCTACCATTTGGTCTGAGGGACGTTGGCCAAGACGGGACCAACATCAATGAAATAGAGCTTATTCTACCACAGATGCTTAACAATCAGCTACGGACGCTTGCACGAAAGCTTCAGGTTAATCTGGCTAGCATTTTCCACTTGGCTTTTGCACAAGTACTTTCTAAAGCTAGCGGACGTGAGGCGGTAGTCTTCGGCACTGTGATTCTCGGACGTTTACATTTCGGAGAGGGAATCAATAGTAATATCATGGGACCAACGATTAACACGCTACCATTGCGATTAGATATTGATGAGACGAGCGTTGAGACCGCAGTACGCCTTACTCATGCTCGATTGAGTTCATTGATGGAACATGAGCATGCACCGCTTGTATTGGTACAACGATGCAGCGGAATGCCAGTTGGTGCACCTTTATTCAGCTCACTGATAAACTATCGTCATAAGGTGAAAACAGAGCATGTCAATGCTTCATTTCCAGGGGTCAGATTTTTAGGTAGTGAAGGGAGAACTAATTACCCGTTAACCCTCTCCTTGGATGACAGTGATGATATCTTGCACTTGTCAGTCCAAGTCGTGTTACAAGTATCAGCAGCTCGGGTTGGTGCTTATATGCAACAAGCCTTGGTGTCGTTATCCGACGCATTAGCCAACAAGTCAAAACAACCAGTCCGAACAATCACAGTGTTGCCACCGGAAGAGTGCACTTTGTTGCTTAACACCTGGAATAACACCTCGGAGACCTATCCACTTGCCCGCTGTCTACATCAGTTATTTGAGGCACAGGTGGAACGCGACGGACAGTCGATCGCCGTGGAGTATGAGGGTGAGACTCTAAGCTATGCGGAATTAAACAGCCAAGCCAATAGACTAGCACATTTCCTGATCGCACAAGGTATCAAGCCAGATGATCGTATCGCACTTTGCGTCCAACGTAGTACGAAATTGGTAGTGGCAATGCTGGGCATTCTTAAAGCGGGTGGCGCCTATGTACCACTCGATCCGAAATACTCCAGTCAGCGGCTGACCAACATTTTACAGAATTCAAATCCAAGGTGTCTTCTGGCAGACGCCGTTGGCCAAGAAGTACTCGGAAACCATCAAATACCATTGATCGACCTAAAAGAGACTTTATCCGAAAAATTATCAACCCATAATCCAGATTTGATAAAGTTGGGCCTCACGCCAGTCCATTTGGCTTACATTATTTATACTTCTGGCTCAACCGGAACTCCGAAAGGGGTGATGGTTGAACACAGAAATGTAACGAATTGCCTCTATTTTATCAAGGACGCGTTCACATCTGAAGATTTCGAGCACACCTCATTTTCGACCTCCGTTAATTTCGATATGTCCCTTTACGAGTGTTTTGCACCATTGTCAATGGGAACAACGTTGCATATTATGACGGATGCACTTGCGCTCTCTACATCGTCAGACATCTCCATGCTCAGCACAATACCTTCCGTTGTGACAACGATACTTGATACAGATTGCTTACCAACGGCGCTGAAAGCTCTCCATTTGATAGGCGAGCCACTAAAAGCCAGCTTAATCAAACGAATATTCACGCACACTCAAGTCAACGAGCTGTGTAATCTCTATGGCCTGACAGAAACGTCATTCTTTTCTACATTGCGTAGATTTAAACGAGGCGATGATGTAGTTGAAACGATAGGACGTCCGATTGCGAACACTCGTGTATACTTGCTTGATGCATATGGTGAGCCAGTGCCATTGAGAGCCGAAGGAGAATTGTATATTAGTGGCGATAGTGTAGCCCGTGGCTACCTGAACCGCCCTGAGCTTACCGCCGAACGTTTTCTACCTGATCCATTCAGTGAAACACCAGCAGCACGCATGTACCGTACTGGTGATCGAGCGCGATATCTGCTTAATGGTGATCTGGTATTTTTGGGACGTATGGATCAACAACTAAAAATACGTGGCTTTCGAATTGAGCCTGGCGAAATTGAAGCTCGTCTAGTCGAACATCCTCAGGTTCATGATGCGATAGTACAATCTTATGGAAATGGATCAGATGCTCGTGTTGTCGCTTATATAGTGGCCGATAGAGATACATCATTGTTCCAGGATTTGCACACTTATCTCTCGACCTTATTACCTCACTATATGATACCAGCGGCTTATGTGTGTCTACCATCCTTACCACTCACACCCAATGGCAAGTTAGACCGGCGAGCACTCCCACCTCCAGATGATGAGACGTTTGCCCGACAGAAGTATGAAGCTCCACAAAATGAAATGGAGGAACACCTGGTCGTCATTTGGAGTGAGTTGCTTAACATTGAGCGCATAAGTCGACATGACAATTTTTTCGAATTGGGTGGCCATTCTTTGCTGGTTATGCATCTGAGTAATAAAGCTAGGTTCTATAATATTCACATTGATACTCGTGATATATATTCCTTTCCAATACTCAAAGATTTAGCGGAACGTATAACTAACCATTTCAAGAGATTGTACTCTGATGTCGCTATTCCAGCTCGTCAATTTGGAAATGAAACACCTCTATTTCTTTTACCAGACGGCGATGGAGGTATCTCTTATGCATTCGAACTTGCCCATGACATAGATAAAAATATTCCCATTTATGTCTTACCATGGTCGTCGCCAGAGAACATCCAGCCATCATCCATCGAGGAAATGGCTGATGCAATGATTTCTCTTCTGAAGAAAATTCAACCAAATGGCCCTTATGCGATGGCTGGCTATTCGGGTGGTGGTATTTTAGCATATGAAATAGGAAAACAACTCATAAGCAATGGATGTACTGTTTCGTTCTTGGGCTTAATCGATACATATCCACCTATTGCAAATGTACTCACCGAAACTGAAATATTTGTAACATTCTTGCTGCTTAAGTATCCAGTTTTCAAAACGATAAACGATTCAATGTGGTGGGCCCGTGTCATGAGATTGACTCTCAATGAAGCAATTGAAGAGATCAAGAAGATGAATATATATTCAAAAAGTTCAGATATTGAATGGGAAGCATTGTTGTCGAAACAACGTCATAATTACCAAAAGATTTGTGCAGCGTTCAAATTCGATTCACTTTCGATCAATACATGTTTATTTAAGGCCGTAGATTACAATTCGTTTCATGTTGATAATGAGCACTTGGACAAGTACTTTAAAAACTATATGGACAATTCGAAGAAATTGTACAGCTGTCCGAAATTGGGCTGGGAAAATTTTGATTGTTCAACAGATTTCCATGTTATTGCTGTAGAGGGTGATCATTTTACAATGGTGAAAGATCAAAAAAATCGGTTTCTCCTGGGAAAACATATAACAAAGTCTCATCGACAAGGACAGAACCCCCAACACGTATTGTAAATTCTGTACCTGAATACAGAACGTAAGTAGGTGTAGAAATGTGGATCGTTTCGTTTTCTCATCCTTTGCTATGATTGTCCTATCTCACATACATATGTGGTTAACTATAGTTATGTACGAATTATCTAAGTACCATTTAATTACCGAAGCGATTGTTATGCGCTTAAAGTAAGAATAGAATAGAACAGATAAGGGATAAATACTACAATTTGATACAACTGTGCAAATCATCAAATTCGATACATCGATGCTTGCTTATAAAATAAAATCGAATTGAATAAAATCTATTATTATTGTTTATTTGATTCGGTATAAGATTTTACAATCATTACACATGCTGCCCATAGGGACAATTGGGTTATACATTTTTCTTAATTCTAGTGTTTCAGTGAATTATTGCTTTATTTTTATTTATTAAATAAATTTGTACTATAAAGTTCTTTAAAATCTATATAATCACTCGTATTTCGGATTTCATCTGGAATTTCATTCCACAAACCAGGACTACTAATATAAACAGAAGTTTTCTGGAAATTATTCTTTGGTTTTTGTACTATTAGCTTATTTTGAGATCTAGTGTTATTAGAGTTAATTGTAATTAAATCACAAAGGTAACGAGGAGCTTCACCGTTTATTATTTTATGTATCATACAAGCGATGTGAAGCGTGCGTCGATCAACAAGTTTTAAAAGTTTTAATGATTCTCTGTGAGGGGTAATGTGATCTCTTCTGCAGACATTTGATATATATCTCATACAAATATTTTCCGTAGTTGTGGTAGACTATGTCCATGTAATCAAATATTGGCAAGATCAGAGATTTATAAAGTTGCAATTTAATTTTTTTTTTTGTAAATCTTGTGTTACAATTATCCTCTCCAGCCATACAGAACAATTGCTGATAAGTTTTTGATCGACAGAATGAAATAATTGTCATGCCCAACTGCAGCTGAATTCAAGTCACACATTCAAATGAAAAATTGAAAGAACATATTCACACAAATAAATGAGTTATAATTTTTCATACGCATAAAATACTGAACCCTAACTTTAATTCATATATGGACGAAACCACCATTCAAGATGTAAAACACAAGAAATAAATAGTCTTACCTCCGTAAGACGAACTTTTCCGCACCGTTTTCATAGCGTTCAGCTTTTATTCAGATTTTGCCTAGGAAATTTATAAGAATTTTCAGAAAAAAACAACAGTACGTTCATGTATTTTATGGAAAATTGTATTATGATTCCGAAAATCTTGATGTTGGGTATTCAAATGAAATGAAACGTCTGATTGTCTTTATTGTCGTCTGAATACTGCTTGAATTCAACTTCTCATTTTCTACGCAGTTTTTGGCTTAAGATTTACCTCTCTTTCAAAAATGCAAAATAATCGAGTATTGAAAAAACTGAACTTTAATCGAAGAACTGCAAACCAGTCGAATATTTGGAGAATGAACTTTGATTTTAATTAAATCAAAAAATGTGGACGGAAATAATAAGCTATTCGACAAAATGTTTAATAAGCAAGTTGAATGAACTGATTTTTTTTGTTTCTTCTTTGATGAAATTAGACAAAAATTACCAAACCGAAATCAATTGGTCATTATGGCGATGCAACACTTGAAAACAAGTATCCAAAAACTTAGACAAAAAAAAAACAACAAGACCGCAGATCGTCGCTTCGCTCCTCTCTGCGTTCTTTTTATGTTGTTTAAAATGGTTTTTTTTAACGTTAATTTGATTTTTCCATCAAATTATTCATTCAAGCACTACATGGAATGTAGTTTCAATCGAAGTATACATTTCTGTATTTTATGAAAATTATTTTAATCAAAATCAATAATGTTCGACCCGGACTGTATTTTTTCTGGAGATTAACTTTTACTTTGATGAAATTTAATATGTAAGAGAAACATTAAAAAATTTGGTTATAAATCATATGGATATATAAATAAATATTATTATATATTAATTAAATAAATTATGGTATTATTTATTATATTATTTTGGTTTTGGGAATGATAATGTGAACGTGGATTGTACATTATTTCACATTGAGAATTAAAATAATATTAAATTTTTTTTTGAGTTATCCCAAACATGAATTACATGAACATGACATTATTATATTTTTGTAATTAGGCGTAATTGCTTTATTTCAAATTAGAAGTTTGGATAGAAAAAAGAATTAATTTTCGGTCCAAAAAAATTGCCTAAAGAGTCTTAAAAATTTCTTGGGAAAAAAAACAAATGCAATAGCCTATATTCCATGTATTCTACATTCCATGTAGTGCTAAAAATGTGTGTATTATTTATGGTGGAAACAGCTGTAGTTCATTTGTTTCGTATATTCTTTTGATGTGGTTTCGTAGTTCGCTGGTCTTTTTTTAATTGTCTGTTTCGTGCTGATTGATTTTTGGATGGTATGTTGCGGGGTTGTGTCCCAAAATGATGGTTGTGGCGTATGCAATCGAGAAAATGCTACAGGAACATCCATCTGGTTGCAACGTTGCCGGTTCGATGAATTGATACTGTGCTCCGGGGTACAGGCGAGTGAGGATTTTTCGTTGATATACGTCCAATCTTTTGCCATGATTGCCCTCCCCGTGTAGACTGTATAGTGAACTGTGGTGTATTGGCCAAGAAAGCTGGCCTGGCTGCTGTATATTATTTGCAGATCGTCTCGTTCGGCTAGAGTCGTTTGTATCGCTCTTGTTTTTGTCCATAGCAGACTAGATGCATGTTGAATGGTATGGTTCTGTTTGCGTTCATCAAATTTATAATGAACATATCGATTGACAAATCATTTAAGAATTCTGTTCCAACAATTTGATTTGTGATTGATTCTAGATCTGTAGTTTAACACAAGTCTCCGATTTCGTAGTAAAATCCATCCTCTTCCAACTCGGGAAAATCCACATTGTTGAGAATAAATGAGACTTCAGAGGCGCTATCACATTCGCTATCAGAATCACTATTCAATACCGATTTGATACGAAAAAAGATGGGTTAGCGGGTGCTAGGTTGTTCCTGGACCCCTATTATTTCGATGAAATGAATCGAGTGGGAGTGATAAAATCCACCTGGGAGCCTATTTTGGGTACCTCCCGAACAAAAATTCGATTTTTCAAGGAATTTTAAACTAACATACCCATTTAATACCAAAAAGGTGGGTTAGCGGGTGCTAGGTTGTTCCTGGGCCCCTATTATTTTGATCAAATAAATCGAGTGGGAGTGATAAAATCCACCTGGGTAGCCTATTTTGGGTTTTGGCCATTGAGTATAATCAAATACTATACGATTTATTTTTAAGTAGTTTACCGCTTTAGTAGTGATTTGAAAACTAACTAATTATTCTAATTGATTCGCTTTTTTATTAAAATAATTAAAGTAATTAAAGTAGGGGAAGGTGGGGTAATTCGGAACACCGCCAATGAATAGTTTAAGACATGTGAACAACTGTCATCGTTTTCTCTAAACAAAACCTCATATTTCCATTAGCACTCGACGAGTGTGTATGTACTATTGTGCGACATCGACATGAAATCAAGTCATGAAAATTTAATATTGAGAATGCCTGTCTGCATTGATTTCACGACATTTTTCGAAGAATCAACTCTGATGAATATGTTTATAATTATCGTATACCATTAATATTTCGACTCACAAAAGCAATTTTGCATAAAAATTCATTGAGTGACGGAAACACGATTATGTTGTAAGCCTTAGTGAGTGGGGAATTTCGGAACGCCCTATATACGAAAAATTGATCAAGTGATTTTTAATACTTTTCAAGTTGATATCGCATTTTTCATGCATATTTATTATATTTCATGCAAAATTTCGACAAATTACTCATTGCAATTTATGCGATCGAGCTGTCCACTTGGAATGCACCAAAATGATTGGTAGCTATTTCACACGCAACAATTACAAATCTGACTAACAACAATCGCTATTTTTGAACTTTTTCCTCATCAAAATTAATTCTTCTGCCTTTTCCTAGTTCTCCATAAACGTTTTGCATCAAAATTGTTTCAGTTTTCTATCCATTTATGGAGTGTTCCGAATTTCCCCTTTTGAAAATCGCAAAATCAAGGGTTTTTTGCCAACAGGGTACATTTTTTCAACCGATTCGAATTTCAACAAGCGGCAAGGTCCAAAAGTTAGGTTTTTACATTTACCAAGTCGTACCACTTTAGAATTTGGAAAAATGTTAATTTTTTAGAATGTTATTAAATTATTTCGATGTGTGTTCCGAATTTCCCCACCTTCCCCTATACGTATTGAATGAATATAAATTATCATTAAGAACATACAAATATCAAAAACATAATAAATAAAAAGAATTACATTCGTAATCCCAAACTTTTCCGTACCGTTGTCCGCACTTCTGGTTATTTTTTGTGAAGTTTCTTGATTAAAGGCAGTTTTCTGTTGAAAAATCGGTCACTTCAGTTAAAAAACTTCGACAAATTTGTATGGAAGGTTCACATAAATCGACTCCGATTAGCTCAAAACTACCTTCAGAGGTTTCATTTTTAGGCGCAAAAATGAGATTGTAGAAGTCTCATGCTGATCGCATTGTCAAAAGTTTAGGAAAAATAGAATTTCGTTAGAAATTTACAAAAAGTGTATGTCACCTAAAAATTCCCTAAAATCGTAAAAAAATTCCATAAAATCATAATAAAATTTCCCAAAAAAGGGATAAACACATACGAAAATTGACTTAAAAATAAACAAAAATCTTCATAAAATTCACGAATTATCGTAATATTTTTTTCTAAAAGTGTAATAAAATTTTAGATTTATTGGAATAATTTTTCAAAAAATCACCATAAACTTGCAATTCGGTAGCGTTTGCGCATGTTTTATTATGACTTTTCTTTCGTCTTATTTATTGCTTCTAACGAACGGAATGAATAAACCACTCTCAGAATTCAAAGGAGATTTACAAATTGCAATATATATTTAACCAAATACGCAATTCGAAATTCGTTATCCGCAAACCGTTACATTCAACGCAACAAAATGATAAACAAATATTTCCTGAGCGAAATAAAACAATACAAGACCGAATAAGAAAAAATTGTGGACGATTTATTGAAAATAAAATAAAATACCAATATAGGGGAATTATGTGTAGGTTGACCCGCACTAATCATTTTAGTCATAACTTTTTATGGAATAAAGATAAATGCGCACTTGATATACCATTGGATAGAGAGCCGTAAAAGCTACAATTTGATCAGGAAATTCATTAGTTTCGGTTGTAAAAACAAAACATTTCGGTCAATTTTCTAAGAGGTCTGATTTTTGGCAACAAAATTTTTTCTTTGTAAGTTGACCCACCCTATTTTTTTTTAGAAAAACATGCAGTATAAACACTCAATATATGAAATTCATTTGATTTCGTTGGATTTTCAATCGTTTTCGGTCTTTACAACTACGAAAAACAATGAAAAAATGTAGAAAAATATAGAAATAGTAGAAAAATACATATTCTCAATTTTTTCATATTTCA